AGCTCTCATTGCAAACAGTGCGACATTTGAGAAAAAGACTGTGTTCTCACAGGTAAAATTAGACTATGTGAGTGCTACTTTCGTCTTTATTTGAGATAAGCTGATTTCCTGCCTGTCTGTTGTCTGCAGGAGAAATATAGGCTTAAGAAGCAAAAGAAATATGCTCCCATTGTACTTCTGAGGCGCCCTTTCACTAGAAGGCTACCTCTTACATTTTTCTCCGAAATATGTCATAGTTACAATTTGAGAGACACTTCCATTGAAATTTGGGATATTGGTTAATGTAAGACAGGAGTGTTCTTCCTGTAATTCTTGTTGGGTGTTTATTATTTAATTGGTTATTTTATCATCTAATGATGAAGTTGTTTCGGATTTAAAGCTATATGATTAAGAGGTCCATATAAGATGGTGTGGAATTTCCAAATAAGTGGAATTAGAAAATAAACAGGACACATCGCCACAAGCAGTTGAAGCTAAAAGAGTTATGAAGAGCCATACTATCTGCATTAACATTGGTTTGGGTGAGCCATACTATCTGAAATTCTTTTTACTGACCTGTCTTTCTTCTTGTTTCTCTCAGTATATGTGAGGCGTACTTAAAGAAGTATCCGACTAGGATTGGGTAACGACATAGCCACTTATGAATTTTCCTTTACTTTTGGTAAATGACTTCCTCATATTTTTTGCTCAGAATTTATGAATTACATGTTGCCTTTGATTCAGATTCTTGCGAATGGATACGTTATCTCTTCTGCTTTCCATGGCAAATGTCTCTGCAAATTCTGATGTCCTCGTAGTGGATATGGTTGGAGGACTTCTTACTGGAGCTGTGGCAGAGCGTTTAGGAGGTTTGCTATATGTTTCTTTTTTCCCCAAGTGTCCTTTACTATGTGTTGCTTTCAATTTATAATTAAAGTAAGTAAACAAGATCTATGGGTGTTGAAGTAGTGAAATGAAGTATAACCATATCCAGAGTAAAAAAAGAAATCTTTTTGTTGTGGCCACTTTGTGCAGATGCGACTATTTGTTTATGACATTTTGGATGTTGAATACTTCTGTATGTTCGACAGGGACGGGCTATGTCTGCAACACATACATTAGTGGCTCGCCTTATCCTATGGATATAGCGAGGATATTCAACTTTGGAGATGAAATTTGCAAGAGGTACATCTGCCTATGAGTTGCACTATTATAGGATATACAGTTAGATGAAATCCTGCTACTCTTTATGTAAGCAGGCATTATGCCATAAAAGAAACAGAAGAAATTGGAGGACTGCAAATTGAATTAAGAAATTGGAGGCAAATCTTCAATTCCATGAAATTAAAGAAAATAAACTATTTTTTCTTTTCTTAGTTTAAAAAAAAATTGAAAATTGAAACGATATTTTCCAATTATATTAGTCTATCGACAAATGTTAATGTTATTACTGATTGTCTCTTCCTGGAATCTTAATTTCTGTTAATTGCTTTATTTTACGCTTTTTCCAAAGAAGATGTGCATCACATGGATTTCCTACTAGTGCATTATAAACCTAGGTTATGGTGTTGATTGTCATGCCTAGATAACCAGGGTGAAAATTCTTTATTCTCCAGTCGATTTGCCAAAATTATCATGGATCCCACCCCACCTACTCCGTGTGCACTTCGGTTTGCATTAATTTTTTGTACTTGACCAATTTTTGAGATATCTTTGTATGTATGTTTTTGTTCCAGGATTGTGAGGTCTCCTCTCACTGATCTCTTCTCTGTGCAAAATGGTCTGCAAAAACCAGTAATTCAAGATTCGGACTCTTGTAACATGGAAAGTCAGTCAAATGTAAGCAACTCCTCATTTTTTGTCTGCACAATTGTGTGCTTGCAGTTTCTTAATTGTGTCAGATATCCTTTTTTAACAGGACCGAATTTCTTCACCAGTCAGCATGGAAGAAGTCTCTCTTGCATCTGAAAATGTGATATCGGATCTTATTCCTGAGTCTACCAGTTCTCCAGTAATCAAGATGTCCAAACCTGCAAAACTGGGAGAAAAAGCACCACAGGAAATCATCAGCTCGTGGAAAGAGCATGGTTTCTCTTGGTAAGTATTGTGGTTGCATGTTTAGTTTACTAGTTGAAAGAAGCATCTGGTTGATAAGGTCCACATTCTCTTTGCAGTTTAATAATAGCAGCACCAGAGCTGGATACTTGGAGCTTAGTTAAGGAGATCTTTCCACTTATGTCAAATTCAGCTCCTTTTGCTATTTATCATCAGTATCTTCAGGTTGTTAGCTTCAAATGCTTTATCATACCAAATTAATGATTTGTGTATACGGATTCTTCACTTGTTGGTGGAAGATTAAATTAAAACCACTATTGTCTTTAAAATGCAGCCTCTTGCAACATGCATGCACAATTTACAACTGGGAAAAATGGCAATTGGCATGCAAATTTCAGAACCTTGGCTACGTGAATATCAGGTTGGTTTGGTCTTCTTAATGCATCTGTTGGTTGTTTTAGTGTTTGTATGATGATTCTTGTGACGAAAAGATCGACCGATGTTCCTTTCTTTTTGAATAAATTGATGCAGGTACTTCCATCAAGAACCCATCCATGCATGCAGATGAATGCATTCGGTGGTTACATTCTTAGCGGGACCAAGATAAGTCCCAACTGATTCTACCTCTAAAAGAACTAAATCACAAGGCGTGAATTGCTGTTATATGGATGTTCGTGAGCAAAACCCACTGCGTCCAATATGTACACTAGCTTTCATTTTTGACTTATCTATAAACCTGCAAATACTGCTTTTTTTCTCTTGCAGGGTTTGCAATCTGTGGGTTGTGGCCCTTATGTATTTGTACGGCAATTTTTTGGGCCTAATGAGAATAATGATGGTGCTCTGTTTTTCTTGCGAATTTAGATTTTAAAGTTTCTACCAGAAACCTATATCTGTTGTAGACTTTCATCATATTTGACGTGCAATGTGCTCGCCTCCTTTCAACCGAGTTTGAACCCCTTCCTCATCCATTGAAATAGTTTAAAATATCGTTCATGGTTAAATTAAAATAAAAATGTGAGCAAACTTTTACATTCGTATATCGTAAAGAATCAAGGCCAGAAAAAATTAATTAGAGCCTACTATGTTTGAGCGGGCATGATAAATTTGGAACGTTGGGCCATCGGCCCATTTCGAAGCCCAAGCCCAAGATAAAGAAGAAGGCGATGCAAATTATAATTACAATAAAAACCGAAGTGACGGTGACAGGCGAAAGGCGGGGCGAGGGGATTCGAACTCATCCGCATACGTTTCCCGCTGTTGCGTCACTTGACTGACGGCGCTTACTCTCTCTCTCGCTCTCGCTTTGTGCTTCGAGTTTGATTTGTGTTTGGTTTCCTTCTCCATTTCTGAAATCCCATTAAAACACAAACACTCACAAAATTAGAGAGTAATTAAAAACACGTACATACATATATAATAATCTCTCAAAATCCATCCCAGTCGATTTTCCCCTTTCCCTCCAACACTCAAAAACCTACCTCTTTCTCTCACATTCTTCAATTCTGCTTCTCTCCCGCTTACCCATGGAGATGGAGGATCCGAATCGCCTCCTTCGACCGTCTCAATTCGAGTTCCAGCTGCTGCACTCTCATTCACAGACTCAGAATCATCAGAACCATCCGAGCTATCTGCTTCCGTCTTTGCCTTCCTCTCAACGTCTTCTTCCCCACTCATTTCCTGCTTTCTCTCCTTCCATCGACTCCGGCCACCACCGCCTCTCCGATAGCGCTTTTGCTTCTCATGCGGACACCCATTCTGCTTTTGCTAAGCTGGCGGTGAGTTTTTGCTCCTCATCGTCGTATTTTTTTCGATTTCAATTTTCGTTTCGGAATTAATTTCGTGTTAGGTATTGATTTTTTCAAGTACGATCACCGCAATCCATCATCATCGTCATTATCTTCTTCTTCTTCTATTTCGTTATAAAACATTCAGTTTCTGATTGATAGGAAGGATTTCAAAAGTTTAGAGGCTTTACTGCTTTAATGATTTCTTTACTTCTCTGTTGTTGATAATTAGTTGTGGATTTTATTGGCCGGTGGCTTTGATGTTTCCTTCGCATCCTGCTTGTAATGGTTAATTCGTGATTTGTTTGCAATAATTTCTCTTAACAAATGGTCATACTATCTTGTATCTTCCCACATTAACTGCACAATCTACGTCTTAATTACAATTTACACGGATTTTAAAATTGTAAATTTTTTTTAGTAATAATTTTCCGTACACGCTCTTGGATGATACAAACTATAGAATTTCACAACTTATTCAGAAGAAAAAGAAGAAATGACAGAGAATAAAAATCAGTTGTAGTCCAAGAGACTTACATGTTAGAGTTATGCAAAGTTGGCATTGTTTTTCTTTAATTTATTGTCTTACTAATTCGCTGTTAGTTAAATTATTCAAGACTACCAACAATGATGGCAGAAGTCAGGTTGTTTTACAATTGGGATCATCAGAGTTGATTACACTTGCTGGTGTGTCTCAATGCGGTTTTATTAGTTTTATGCTGTTGTAAATGTGTTTCATCAGCACAATTTGAATTGTGCCACAAGATTTTTTTTCCTCTCCTTTTTTTTAAATATAAAAATTACGATACCCAGGAATGGTGTAATTCCTAGAAATTAATTACACTATAGATTTTCTTTGGGTAAATACCACGAGGAGTCCCCACACCTGAAGGGTGGGATTAATTACACTATAGATTTTGGCATGCTTGATATGTTTTCTTTTTGCACATCTCTCATATTTATTATAAGCAATAATTGCTGCAGTTGAGACCAAAGAAGGAAATAGATGATGTGGCTCAGATTGGTGGGCATGAAGCTGCTGCTGGACCGAGCAAGGTACTTCATGACCCGTCGTTATCTATACCACAGTCCTGCACGGGTAGAAAACATAACCCTAAGTCAAAGGTTCCTAAGCATACGAAAGCTGGGACTCAAAGATCAACTGCGGATTCTCATAATGGTCTGAATCCAGCTATTGGGTGCCGCTATGACAGCTCTTTAGGTAAGTTGAGGATCAAAAAAAGAAAAAAAAAATCATTAGGAGTTGTCCCTCTCCTTCTATCTAACTTTGCACACACTTTAAAGCACTCACTTTGTTACAGGCATTCATTCGGTATGTGTTGGTAAGTATTGCCTTCTCCCTGGATGTGGCATATCAAGATTAATAAGGGGTGTAATATGTTGTTTGCAGGCTTGTTAACCAAGAAGTTTGTTAGTTTAATTCAAGAGGCCAAGGATAGAACCCTTGATTTGAACAAAACGGCAGAGGTGTTGGAGGTATATCAAATGTCTTTGATATCAGAGTCCATAGTCAGACTGTAGCATGCACTTGCTGTTATGTCTGAACTGTAACCTATTGAATTTATTACATATTGGTTGTTACAGGTTCAAAAGCGGAGGATATATGATATTACGAACGTTCTTGAAGGAATAAATTTGATAGAGAAAACTTCAAAGAATCATATACGCTGGAAGTAATTATATAAATCTTCACTTTCCTTTATTTGGTACTTTATATATGATTTGATATGACCAGAGCACTTTAATGGCAGGTGTTATGATGGGTCGACACCAGGGGAGCTAGATGATCAAGTTTCTAGAATACAGGTGCATGTAGAATATTAATCATTTGGATCTTGTTCATAACTCAACGTCTTGCTCATTGCATGTGTGCTTGTGTCGTGTATGCCAACTTTGAAAGACTATTGAAACATTACCGAGACTTATTACATCCTTTCAAATAGTGATGCTGATCTGTTGGTTTTCAAGGTTATCAATGCATTGAACTATTTTGTAAAATGAGTTGCTATCTTATCCTAAATTTAATGCACTATTTGTTTGGGTGGACAAGCAATTTCAAATCTTAACTGAGGTTTGGATGATTGAAATTGGTCGTGAGTGGTGACATATTGTAATGCCATCCCTGGTTTCAAGCAAAAGTCAGGCTTTCTACTCTGTTGCTATAATCATGTTGCAAACTTGAAGTATTTGTACTCTCTCTAACCACGAAGAACATTTTGTTTTCTTTCAGGATGAAGTTGAAAGTTTATATGCTGAAGAATGCAGGCTTGATGATGCTATAAGGTTGGTTGTTTAGAATTAGAAGCATTCAGATATTTTTCTGTCTGGTATGTTGAGCTATAAAGGGGTTATTTTTTCAGGGAAAAGCTAGAGCTTCTGAGGGCCCTGGAGGAAGATGAAAAGAATAAAAAGTATATTCTAAGTCCTGGTGTTTTTTTCCCTTTCTCTTTTCCCATTTTTAACTTTATAATCCGCTAAAATCAACTGTTTAGGTTCCTCTTTTTGACGGAGGAAGATATTTCGAGCCTTTGTTGCTTCCAGGTCATTTTTTGACTTTAGATCTTTGAAACTTCCATTGCTTTGTGCTTTAACTATTGATCAACCCCAATGTTTTCTTACTGCTATTATTGTTACAGAATCAAACACTTATTGCAATAAAAGCTCCCCAAGCTAGTTATATTGAAGTTATTGATCCTGATGATGAGGTGGGTACATTGGATGGATGTGGTTTGAGACTTTGTATTGTAATTAGCAAAATATCTAACTTGGTTTTTAATTGATCAGGAGGATACTTGTTTTCCCCAAAAGCAGTTTAGAATGATCGTCAGAAGCACTATAGGACCTATACATTTGTACCTCTTGAGGTAATTTTTTCTGCATACATATAGGCTAGGCTATCTAACTCATCCTTACCTCCCCTCTCTCTCTCTCTCTCTCTCTCTCTCTCTCTCTCTCTCTCTCTCTCTCATGTGCGGATTACGATTTCTTACTTTGGTGTGACACTTTATATTCTCAATGTTGTAGCAAATACCAAGGGCAACGTGAGAATATTGCTGTTAAGCAAGCTAAATCAGCGGGTTCATCTTCTTGGAATAGTAGTGATTATTCCAGAGTGGAAGACGGAAGGCTTTCTTCATACCATCAGGGTAATAAAAAGGACAGTTCTGAAATTCTCGGCTTACCAGGCTCAGAGGCATCTTCTGGGATTCAGAAGATTATTCCTTCACACGTCAATGTTAGTATTCTTTCAGCATTTTACTTATTAATGTATTTACTTTTCTGTCATTGGTCATAATTAACCTTACTAACTGATTTGTGTATACTAATTCTTTTTGCAGGCCAATGACGATTATTGGTTTAGATCAGAGCCTGAAGTCAGCCTGACAGATCTATGGGGTTAGCATACATCCTTTCTCCATTTCAGCTAACTCCATTCGAGTTTTTCTATTTTGTTCGGAATCTTATACAATTATTCCTTGATGCAAAAAGGGAATGGAGCATTTGTGTAACAGCAACAAAGGATGTTCCTGGAAGTTGTTCCTTAAAAAACTACATAACAATTTGTTTACAGACCTACCTATTTCACAATCAAGAAACCTGTATTTGATTAAATTAACTAACGGCTTTCTTTGCTGCAACTTACAGCGAATTAGGACTGGACCCAGAGCAAATAACCTCTCCTTCAAGACAATTCTGGGAAGAGTGGTGCAGCATTGGCCAATGGACATTGACCGTAGTGTAAATGGGAATCAGGTAGTTGATTGCTCCAGATGGCATGAAGGGTACCATATTCTTTTCATGTTTTGATATGAAATTGTGTAGCTAGACCTTTTTATTTTATATATCTTGTTTATAGTAAAATCCATAGTTGCTGCTGGAAATTTGTTACAATGTACGGCGAGGATGCCATTTAGATGGCTGCCTATAACCATCTAATCTATGCAACCTATATGGGTCATGTGAAGGCAGACGAATAACCGGTTTCAGTCCAACCAGAGATAACCACCCTCATTTGGCAATTTTAGGGCTTGCGACGTGCGGAGAGGCAGATATATGGGGGAGTCTGGTAGGGGGTGCATGCAAGTAACTGCTATTCTAAATACGTGTTTTGAGTTTTGCTTTGTTGAGATTATTTGTCAACCAAGCCTTGAAAATAAGGTCAAGGATTCTGTCTTCATTTTTGAGGTAAAAACCCCCTACCTGACCATACACATTGAATAAAAATTGCCAAGTCAATTGGCAACATCATTTTCAGTTCAAGGATTTTGCATTAGTGCTCTCTGAAAATTGCGTTCTTCTGTATAATCAAGTCAATGAGAAATAGAGTATTTTGGCCTCTTGCACTGTCAAGTGTCAACGTCCTGGGTTGGGTTGTAACTTGTAAGAGTACTTCCACCTATTTGCCATGGCAAAAGGTATGGGCAAGACAAGGTGTGTTTCCATCCATTGTCATGGCAAAGGGCAAATACTATTCACTTTAACTTATTTTTATTTTGGCAAAAGGTCACTTTCGGTCCTTGTAGTTTGCCGTTTTTACCACTTTGGTCCCTGTAGTTTCAATTTGGTCAATTTTGCCCCTGTACTTTCAATTTCAAGCAATTTAAGGACAATCTAGATTTTCTGTCAAATTTCTATAACACCCGTCATCTTTTGGTCATGTGCCCCTCACGTGGAGGGGCAATTTCGTCAAATCGTGCCCACCTAAAAGCTGCCCTCTCTCTTTCTTCTTCGGATGCAACTTTGGGATTGTGGGTTAGGGTTCTTCAAAAAATTTCAGACCTGTGGGTTCTTCGAAAATGTCAAAATATGCTATCAGCCAAGCTCCAAAATGCCCATTTTGTAATGGTGAAATGAGAATAGCAACTTCAAGGACTGATAGGAGTCGTGGAAGACGATTCTGACTCATCACTACTGTCCTCTATTCTCCACCTCCTACCCTCAACATAAGTGTCTTCTTCACTGTCCTCTTCTTCACTACGTACCCTCTTCTTCACTACTCTCCTTTTCTCTATCCTCTTCATGAACAACATTCTCAGCAATTTGAGAATGCACAGGGACCTCCACAGTTCCTACATTTTCATTCCCCACTTGTACATTGACTTGAGTCACCTGTGATTGTTGACTAAAAAGCTCATCAAAAAACTCATCTGGGACCTCATCAAATGCTCCGGTATAAGGAAATTGGGGTAGCCCAATGTCTGAAATTTTTTGACAGAAACAACGTTTATATAATTGAAATGCATGTATCTCGTACACTTTATGCAAACAGGAGGAACTTTATGCAAACAAGGAGGGACCACAACAAATACAGATACCATATTTATTCATTTACTTCCTAAAGTCTTAACTTTTTCCAGCAACCATTCCACTAAGAGACAAGTCCTAACCCAGTACACTACACCTTTTCAAAACTAGAATCTGACAAAGCAAAAAAATCAGAATATGACAAACCCACCACAACTCCAGCACTAACTCACCAAAACAATTCAATAAAGAATGCATTGAAAGCCTAAACAACTTGGAATATTGAAAGCCCAACAATTGAATAAAGATCCCAAACCAACTTGAACCTAATTTTAAAATCGAGCTCTCACCTTGTTTATTCCAGCATCCACTTCCTTCACCTCTCTTCTTTATTGTTGATGATGTGAAAGTCTAAATCCAGCAAAATAGTGTCTTGTTTCGAAATTGATATTCAAACCCTAACTGTACTCTGCCCAAAGTCGC